CAAGTAACTTCCTGAAAGCTGCTAGAGGTAAGCAGGGCAGAGGCCCCCTTGATAGGTCCCCCAAGCGCTCCAGGGCCCTGAGATGCTCAGCAGACTCCGGAGCTGCTCCTGCCTTCTCCAGACAAACACACGGGGCTCTGGAAGCAGGTTCTGCATCTATTTATTTAGCAGTGAGAGGACGGGTCCCTTGCAAAGCAGTACATGCTGCAGAGCTACCTCCTGGGGTGCAGTCAGAGGGAGCGAATCCCTCCAAAGGAAGTGGGGAAGGAGGGTGAGGAGGCACAAAGCTGCAGCCTGGATTTTCAGATCACTGATGCTTCTGTGATCCATCCGTGGAGGCTGGAGGAGCTGCAGCTGATGGGGGTGGCTCCCGTTTAAACACTGTAAGACAGTAAGAGTGATGGATACTTGGGCAGAGGGGAAAGTGCAGATGGGCAGAGAGGCAAGTACACCAGGATACATTAAAACAGCCCAGTCTGGGTCATAACAGCCCCATCCTGACCAGGGAGCTGTGCCAAGGCAGACCAAGTGTCCAGCTCTCCCAGGCACTGGTGCTTCAGAGACAGATGCCTCTCCATGGAGTCTTACTGAGTGGCAGAAAAACAGCAAGCATCCCCCTCCCCATTCTTGACCCCCAGTAATCAGGCTGGAGCCTTGCTATTCAGATAGCCCTGGCTCAGTGGAAACCCAGAGATAGTAAACTCACCCAAGGGCCTTGGCACACTGATCTGTCAAGAGAAAGAGAGAGCTGTCAGTGCTCAGCATAAGCTCATTGTTCCAGGATCTTCTCAATGGCAAAGAGAAATGTTGGGGATCTAAAATGGCCCAATCCCTCTAGGATCCTGGTCAGTGAACCCTGCCACGATGCATGCATCATGGCCAATGGCATCTGTTCTTTTCCAAGTTTAGCAGTACATATGGGAATGGAAAAAATCCCGAAGCAGGCAGCAGTTACCTGACTTGGGCAGGATGACCAGCATGTCTTCAGTGAGGCCCATGGTTGGGTACAGCTCCTTGAATCTCTTCAGGGCTTCAGGGTGCACATCCTGGACTCTGCCTGAAGCCAAAGATCAGCATTAAAGCCAGGTGTTTCCAGCCTGACCTGCAGCAGGGCTCCTCTGTGGCTGGACAGATAGACACAGTCCTGACCAGCTACAATGGGAGGCTGTGTGCTAGTGAGGGAACAGTGACAGGGATTTCTAGGGGCTGGTGTGGGCATGGGATGAGCTGAGGGCTAGGAGAGAAAGGAAGGTTCTCTGTGAAGACCAACAATTAGATGTAGAGGACCAGGAAGCCAGCCTGATGGACGCCTCTACCAATGACCACCTGAGGGCCTCCCCTTGATTTTGAGCATTCACCCAGCAGGTAGAGCACAGAGCTGGGCTAGAAACTTGGCCACGATTCTCCCTTTGTATGGATCACCCTTATGTGCAGCCTTTTAGGGCTGGCTCACAGGAAGTAATGCAAGGAAAGCATTTGTGAAAGCCAGTATTAGGGAAATGGTCATGGAAACTTCTTGGTGTTGCTTTGAGAACCAAGGCCCTGTCTTACTAAGCCTCAGAGGACAGCTCAGGTACCACTGGCTTTCCCCAAATCCTCTCCTCACCCACATCTCATGTCAACACCATTTTCTCACTGGGGCTGTACTGTCCTGACCATTCTCCCAACACTTACTAAAGAGCTGCAGGGTGACGCTGGTCTCGCCGTCCTTATCCTTGCGTATGTACACGATGGCGTAGTGAGCATAGTCTGTCTCCACCACGCGGAAGTCTCTCTTGGCCATCACTGAAAAACAAACCAGGCGGTGTTCAAAGACCACAATGTCTCAGCTCTTCTCCTTAGCAAACAGGCTACATGCTGGGGCTGGTATTAGGGTGATGAGGACACTGGACTCGTCCCATACTCTGCACTGGTCCAATGCCCTGCACTGCTGGTGGGTTGCTGGGTATCCTGCTCCCAGTAGTGTATCTGGGCGTGGTAAGTGGGGCAGCAGCCTGAAACATCCATTTAGAAGGGGTGCAAGAGTGGCAGCTGGTATTACTGCCGTCCAGACCACTGCATCTTCCGCCGCTGGCTGTGCCACTGCCACCACTCGGGGTACAGACCCTGGTCTCTACCTAGAGCACATCATTTTCATGCTATGTACCTCAGTTTTACCCATCTGTAAAATGGGGTTAATCTAAGATGAAACGGTCTGCTTAAAAGCTAGGGTAATTTTTTTTTTTATTTGATTAGTGTGAGTACTAGCTGGTTGCACCCAATGGCTCTTTATTGATCCAATGGCACTTTATCAGTAGATTTGAAGCAGCTTGGGGTAGATGTCATCTAGAACGTTCCCCAACACCTTCCTGATTTTTATCTAGAAGCCCAAATATCCAGGACCAGGTGCTTTCTAATGGTAAAAGGGGCATCTTCACAACCCAGCCTTGCTGGTACCAGTTGGTTCTCTGCTGCCTTTGTTGGATGACATGTGCTAAAACCAGGAAGATCACACCTGTGCTTTATGGCTGCTGGTGCTATTGGCTCAGACCAGCCTGGCCACAAATACAGCTTGTGAATTAATTATCCAAACAAGATCTCTGAACCAGGTGCTGCACAGGGCTTGTTTGAGTCTGGTTTTGCAAAGCATGCAACCAGGTGCTTCATGTGCACTACCAGTGTATGGTGGCAGATCCAGGATGCTGGTGGAATGGCAGCACCTGATGGCCTAGCCAGATTGCAAATCTGCCTGCAAAGCTTTGCTCACTGGTGCACCATCTCACAGCATGCACCTGCAGGTGCTCACATATAGTGTTAACAACCTGCCCCACCTTGAGACCCTGAGCCATGGCCTGGGAATAGATCCAGCTCAGATGAAACACAGAATGGAGACAAACTGCTGCTTGGGAACAAAGAAGTTGAAGGAACTGCTCCTAACCCTTATGCCTCTGCAGAAAGGACTAGGCAGGAGAGGATCTGTGTCCCATCCTCTCTGTGGTATCCCTGACTGATGTTGAGCTTTGGCAGTGTTGTTCCCCTAAAACACAGCATCCTCTCCATCCCATCTGAGGTACCATACATGTGTTCTGTTCTCAAACTACTGGTGTGCCTGTAGGCACCATCCTGACATTGGGCACAGGAGCTTTGAAAGTATACAAACAACAAGTAGCAAAGCAAGGTAGCTGAGACCCAAAGAGCCCCCTGCCAACATGCACCATGATACCTGGGAGTGGAGGGGGCACTGAGCAGCCTGGGAAGTACCTGAATTGGTGTAGTGACCTGGCTGCCCAGTGCTCTTGAAAGGTAGCTCCATTTGCTGACATTTATCTGGCCTAGAAAAAAGCAAAGGGAAAAACAAGGTCAGGCTAAACCAGAACCTGGGCCACTTAAAGAGCTGGGGTGAGCCTAGTTTGCCCAGATAACAAGAAGGCTCATCCTGGCAAGGGGAGGGCAATGTGCCCTCATGGTGGGGGGCAGAGGTGAGTCTGTTCTGACTGGGTGGGGGGATGTGGTTTTCCTAGAGGGGAAAGCAAAGCCCAGTGGGAGGTTGCTGGCACAGTGTGAAGATGGGTGTGAGCCTGTCTTGACCTGTGCGTTGCAGGATAAACCAAAAGGAGATTCTTCCTGATTTGAATTTCACCTTATTTTCACTCTCCCACCACCTCAGCCCTAACAGGAGAACCCATCCAGGATGAAGGTCCAGCTACCTATGAGGCAACATCAGGGAAAGCCACAAGAATATCCCCCCCACCCACTTTAGCACCAAACCAGTCTCAACCACTGAGCTATAGTCAGCTTTCTCCAGGCCACTGACTCTGCCAAGCCCCAGGACAGCCACATGCTGATGGGTCAGGTCAGCAGGATACAACTGTACTTACATAGGGTAACCAATAGTTAAAGTCAAGTCGCCTCCTGGCATTGGCGTGATGATGGTAACAGACGTCTTCATGACTTCCTTCATGCTCAGGAACTGGGGGCAGTTGGAGGCAGCAACCATGATGTGCCATTTCCCTGCAAACTGCAAAGAATCACTCAAGTGAGATCTTGAGAAAGCAACTGCAGCCCTCGCAGTTCCCAGCAGAAGCCCCTGGCCGTGGGGCAAAAAACAGGAAGGAGCCAGCACCCAGGAAGGCTTTCCTAGCTTGTCTCCTGCTTCTTACTGATTGTTAACAGGCTATTGTGTTAGCAGAGCCAAGCCAATGTGCTATAGGGTTTTCTATGGGGAGGACAGAAATGTATGCAGCATATCTGTTCTGCAGCTGGGCCCTGCCTCCTTGTAACAGGCTATCACACATATGTCCATGGCCTCCATCTCTGTGGTGTCCAAACGGCTCACAGTCACTACTTACTACTGACCCTCATGCAGCTCCTTCTGGTGGGGCAGTGCAGTAAGCTCCATTTCACAGGCCGGGAGCTGTGGCACAGAGACCCAGAGCCTGTACTTCTATTTTCTGTTTTCTCTTTACTCCCGCTATGCTGTCAGTAGGATAAGGCACCCACCCGTGCGAGACACCATGAGCAGTGTGGGCATCCTCCACCTGGGTCACTATGGACCAGGGGCTGGGCAAGAGCACCTTGTTTCACACCAGCCCCCACCCATCTGTCCGCAATGACCTCTCTGGGATGCCTTCAGTCTGGTGACTAATGGAAGGGTCTTCCACACCTGCAGGGCCATCACCAGTCCCTGGGTTGTCCAAGCCCCTCTCCCTCTGCTGCACTGCCCCTTGTTCAAGTGGCCCAGAAGAGCTGGGGACACAGGACCAGGAGTAGTCACACCCCCTGACTCTGGTGGCAACATCCATTTGTTATCTATAGGGATAGTAGCGGGCTTAGGAGAGGTTAAACTGGACCACTGCCCTGGGACCCACTCTGTATAAAAATAAAAATGAATTACACTGAATATTGGTATTATCGATATTGTATTAAGATACTTTCATTGCAGTTTCATGGATAGGGCCAAGTGATATTAAAATTGAAAATGTCCGACTTGCATATAGGTCATGAAAATTAAGCATCTAAGGGGTGCCAAATGAATCTCTTGCCCAGGGCCCCAACAACACTAAGGCCACCACTGATAGGGATTCTGCTGTGCAGGGTCTCTGTGCTGGGATGGGCCCAGGAGGCAGTGGAGAACTTGCCTGTGGGGGCTGGAGGTAGCCCTGGTCCATGGTTCCAAGTCACTGAGTCAGTGTCTTTGAGTGTCTCACCCACCCTGCTCTGTTAAGGGTGTCATAGTTTCATAGTTTCTGGGGTCGGAAGGGACCCGAACAGATCAAGTCTAACCCCCTGCTCTGGGCAGGAACGAGTGTTGGGATCATAATACTCCAGCCAGGTATCCATCCAACCTCCTCTTGAAGACACCCAAGGTACAGGACAGCCCCGCCTGCCTTGGGCGCCCATTCCAGAGCCTGACAACCCTAACCGTAAAGTAATGCCTCCTGATATCAAGCCTGCTCTCAATCAATTTGTGGCCATTATTCTTTGTTATCCCAGGTGGTGCCCAGGGGAACAGAGCCTCACCTATTTTCTGCTGGTCCCCCCTGGTGAGTTTATAGATGGCCAACAGATCCCCTCTCCATCTTCTCTTGTGGAGGCTGAATAGATTCAGGCCCTTTAATCTGTCTTTGTAGGGCCTGGCATGCTGCCCCCCAACCATGCAAGTGGCCCTCCTCTGGACCCTCTCAAGGTTAGCCACATCCCTCTTGAAGTGCAGCGCCCAGAACTGGACGCAGTACTCCAACTGCGGCCTGACCAGCACCGCATACAGGGGAAGGATCACTTCCATGGACCTGCTTGTGATGCATCTGTAGATGCACGATAAGGTGCAGCTAGCCTTACTGACCTCTTTCTCTCATTGGTGGCTCATGTCCATCCTGGAGTCAACAATAACTCCAAGATCCCTTTCAGCCACCACGTTGACAAGAAGGGTGTTCCCCAGCCTATAGGTGTGTTGCTGGTTCCTTCTCCCTAGATGCAGCCCCTTGCACTTGTCTGCGTTGAATTCCATCCTATTCCCATCTGCCCACCTCTGTAACCTGTCTA